AATATGATTTTACAACTTGTGTAACTAACTTGAAGTTTTATCTTTTATCTTTGGAAACTACTTAGTCTATAAAATGAAAGAACATTTGGTGCACTGATTATGTAGGGATGTAGGATAAGAATAACTAATAGAAATTCAGGAATATCACTTTCCCTCCAAAAGCTTTTGGAGTTAGATATTAGAATCAAAATCAAGCTGTCAAGAAATTTTAAATCTTACCCAATTTGACACCGGCAGTCTAATTATAATAGAAATCACTCTTGTTGAAAGCGTTTTGTGTAATAGACTTTTATGTGCTTTACCATATTTTCTTCCCACTAACAGTGTGACCTTGGAGGCTCGGGCCTACAAAGCGCTACTCTCGCCTGGGTCTCAGGGTGATGATGATGCAAGGAGCTTTCTTTCCAACTCACTGCATACACTGACTGAGTGAAATACTTCCTGTTAAGTTCTCAGAGTTGGGAGAGTTTTATTGTATTATTAACCTATCTTTATTGATACAAATTCAAACTTAAATGTCTTGAATATAATCATCTCAATTTAAATGTTGTGATAAAGAGTTATTTGGAAACTAGTGACAAGTAAAACAACCTTATCTATTGCTATCAAGGGATCGGTTTCTTACATAATGACTCTCCTTTCTTCCTCCTTGGCCTCAGAGATGACATTAGACAAACTATAAGACAAAATAATGTAGTGTTAGAATGAAGCATTCAATATTATCATTTTACTGGAAAAACTGAAGCTTGATAGTAGTCACAAATCAGAAAACATGGAGTCAAGAATGTCTTTTCAATGCCAGAAAACCTATTTATATATATGGAGAGTTTGTCAAATGAATATTTTGGGAGACAGGATAATTTTTAAATTCTAATCATTTCTCTCATAATGATAAAAATGAGAGACTGAAGTGGCGGCCTCTCACTGTAACTGACTCACACAGGCTGTGCCTAATTAAAGCTATCTTCTTTGTCTCGCTTTCAGTATGATGAAATGAAAGAAATCTTTCCTTTTCTCCTGCTGCATTAATTCCCAGTAACAATATCAGAATCACTGTCACTTAAGACTCAACACAAAAGATCTGTGACCATGCTTAGCTTTTTTGCATTTCTCTCCCCACTTGGTCTTTTCAATCCCATTTCTAGGTTTTCCCTCTCCTCTTTGTAATGCTCTGTCCTGTCTCTTTAAAAGACAAGCCACACCCATTCCCTCCTCCATCTGCTGAGGCAGGCTGATCTTCAACTTCCAGCCTGAGTTCTTCCCTTTTCTGTCTCAGCTTCCTATCTCTCCTCTCTCTCTCTCTCTCTCTCTCTCTCTCTCTCTCTCTCTCTCTCTCTCTCTCCCTTCCATGACCCACTAAATAAAATCCAACCTCACTCTGCATGGCTTGTCTATCCATTTGTGTCTTGCTTGTGGTGTGGTTCCCTGCCCAGGACCAGCCTCCCTCAGAGACCTGCAGCCATTTGTCTTTCCTCTTTATATTTATTTATTTATTTATTATTGAAAAAAATTTTCGCCTCCTCCCAGCCTCCCATTTCCCTCCCCCTCCCCCTACTCCTCTCCCCCTCCCTCTCCAGTTCGAAGAGCAGTCAGGTTGTCTTTCTTCTTGGCCTGCTACAGCCACTTGGGGAACTGTGCCATCCCTGCCTGGGATCGGCTGCTCTCTGGACCCACTGCCTGCTGCCTGCCACCACAACTGTTGTTGCTCGGGGACCTACAGTGTTTCTGCTGCTGTAGCTGCCAGGGATCCACAGCATTTTTAATTAATCTATTACAGTCTCACTATTATTTCTTCAGTTTGAGATCAATAGTATGCTGCATCTCACTGGGATCTTGCTATAGCCAGTTAATTTTTCCTTGCATTCAGACTTGTCTCTCACCTTCTGGTTACAATGTTAACTTTTATTTGTTTGGTTCTTCTTTTTCACATCATGGTATACCTTAATATATAATTTTGCAATGATATCCTATGTATTGTCTTTTGTTTCATTATTCATACACACACATCTTAATATTGTGGCAATTTCCATTATTACACATTGCAATAATAATGTTCAAGCTTTGAGAGAATGAAAAAAGTTAGTGTTATGATTTCAGCCACAATAAGGCTGACACTTCTGAGTGTAGGGATAAGTTCCGCCCCTTAGGGGGCGTGTTCGCCTCGGGCTAATGTTTGCCTATAAATTTGGCAAGCATGCTCCCAGATGATGCTTCTGCTTTCCTGGTCTCCTTGGGAATGGTGGTTCTGTAAGACTGTTTCCCCATTAAAGCTGTCTGCATTCGTTACAATCTGTCTGCATTTGTTTATGCCTTTACATCTGGGTTCTAGGGCCATGCATTTGCGGACAAACCCTCAGGCAGAAGGGCCTAATGGCCCCAGGGATTTTTTTTAACCAAACTATATTTACTGTTTACAGTAGTAAAGGACGACAAATAATGTACAAACTGGATAAACACAACAGAGCCAACAGACATCCCACCCAAGCCCACGCAGCAAAACAGAAAACAGCATTTTCCTTGGGACTGTAAGCAAGCGAGAGATGGTAGGTCAGTGTCAGGTGACTATGAAAGGCAGAGATGGCCATCAAGCAGCAATGGACCCTTACACAAGGATGACAGGCAGGACAATCCACATATAACTGGTATAGACCCCACAATGCAGGACTGAAGCCACCCACTGATGCATCATTTGAATACACATCTGGAAAGCCACAGAGCATAATCCATGAGAATGAGGTCACCTCTCCCGGGCTTGCTTTTGCAACCACACTTTAAAGCAGGTCTTACACAGCATCACTGTAAGCCTGCTACTTAACCAATGACCTTCTTACACAGAAACCATCATTATGCATTGGAACCAAGTACTAGAAAATAATCTGAGGCCACATTCAGTTTCCAAATGAGACATGGCAGTTACTTTCATCTACATTATAACAAGGAAAGAGAATGGGTCCCACCTTTCAACCCTGCCCATGTACCCATTACCAGATGCCAAGTAGAAAGGGGGCATGTCAGGAGAAGTTGGATCACAGTACATAAGGACTCCTTCCAATGGTCTTTTCCCTTTAACTTTACCATTTGACAAAGCTCAAGCTGATAGTATTTCAATGTTTTAATATTTTATACCTACAACAAATAGGTGCAACTCTGTCCCTCTCTCCCATCTCAACATCCCATAGGCAAGCCCACTGGATAATGGAACCACAAGCTCTCTCCTTGACCAGGGCAAATCACTCTAAAAGCAACCACAGTTCTGGGGGTCAGAGTCAGGTGGCAGACTGAGTCCACACCCAGCTCCAAGTTTTGGGGAAAAATATTTTAGGGACGGGAGGAAGCAGAAATGAAAACATAAACAAATCCCAAAACCTTACACTCGTTTCCCCTAAAGGCAATGCGCTACACAACACTTTCATCCCTGTATGATGTATGTTGTCTGCTCCAAGCACATCAGAAAAGGAGAACCAGTCAGGGACTCTGGCTTCTGCTGACGATTCTGTGATTGGTGTGGCTGCATGGTCACCTTTCAATAGCAGAAGACAGGACAGTGATCGGGTGTGGTGACGATCCCTCAGGAAGCTGTTCCTCCTGTCTGCTGTTGGAATACGTCAATGGTGTCCTCATCCTCCATCTCCAGCTGGGCTGGGGTGTCTGTTTCATTGATTGGTTGTCCATCAAACCGGAATCGAATCTGCCTCATTGACAAGCCCTGCCTCTCGCAGTACGCCTTCATCAGCTTGCTCAGTGGTGTGTGCCTCTTGATCTTGAACTGCACCACTGAGCCATCCTGTCCCACCACTTTCAGGTTGATGTGGTCATTCTCTCTCTTCACTCCCTCCTTGGGCTTCTCTTCCAACATGGTTGTGCCGCAGCGGCGGCGGCGGCGGGAAGCACAGCGAGAACCAGTGGCACTGGAGCAGGTAAAGTCATGCTCTCTGCCCCGCCGCTCTCCCCGGCCCCGGGGATTTTAAAGGGCCCTGTGTGACCCACATGCAGTGTGGTGGCATAATCTACCTATGACTAAACTAAGCCCTTACATGCATGCGAGAGTCCCTGTCATCTGCATATGATGCAGTCATGTCAACCCCTGTGTACATGCACTAGGCAGCTTTTAAAAGCTGGATTCTCTCTCTCTCTGTCTCTCTCTCTCTGTCTCTCTCTCTCTGTCTCTCTCTCTCTCTCTGTCTCTCTCTCTGTCTCTCTGTCTCTCTGTCTCTCTCTCTCTCTCTCTCTCTGCACACTGACTTCCCCAGGCCTGCACATGCCCCATCTAATAAACTCCTAAGTGGGTTTATTGCACGTTCTGTTTCCTTCTCACTCTTGCCAGGTAATTTCATTGGTGCAATGACTTGCCCAGGATGTGACCAGTACCCAGCTTTTCTCAGGATTCCTCTCCCACCAAAATGATGCCCACAAATAAGCAGGAAACAGTCTTGAGAATCTGCCACCCCAATTCCTTTAACCTGTTGTGTCTAACTGCCATGGACCGGCTCAGGGGAGTCACTCAGACCATGGGAGAAGCAGGATCTTGGTAACAGGAAGGCACAAGTTCGGCGAATGACAGACAGACACAACACACAAGAGAGTGGTTGGAATCTGCTGCAATTTTACTAAATTTATGTATTCATTATATAGTAATCAAACAAAGAACAAATCAGAAGGTCATGTATCATTGCTTGGCACAGTATGAAAGCTTCTTTTAGTCACATCAGCGATATTTAAGAAAAGTACATTATCAGGAACAGGTGTTAGACATAAAGCATCCTTAAAAGAGGAAATCTTGTTTTTGGGACTGTAAACCTCAGACAAGTGGTTTCATCTTATGAATAGAAAGTTTCTGTCTCATTATTGCTATCATGGCCTTTCCTCTTCCTAACCCTTTATCTCATCTAGTGACCAAATAAACCTAATGAGTTCTCTGCACCTGTTGAACTATACTACTTTTTAGTACCTTCTTATGCAGCAGACATCATGGGGGTTGGGATCTAGCAAGCCTATCCATAAAGTTCAAAGTATAATATAACAGTCTTTGTCCATCAACATTAACCCATCTATTCCCTTGCTCATCATACACCCTGTGTGTGACAAAGGTTCTGCTGTAGTCTTATACATTCCCATACTGTGCTTCCTTCACCCAGGGCTGTTCCTCAAGAGAATGATCCTTGTCGTGTGTGTGTGTGTGTATGTGTATAATCATTATTATAAAAGATATTGTGCAAGGCCCATATCCCACATAGCCAGCTACTCGAGAATCCCGTCTGTGCCCCAAGGGCGGCTAATACCAGGCTATCTGCCATTGACCTCCAGGAAGCCTAGTTACATGGGACAAGCTCCCGTCAGGCATAATGACATATGTCATGTCACACAGATGACACTGGAGTTGGTGTGGCATCTAACCTTCTGCCATTTTATTATAAAAAAGAGATGAGAATGTAATCGTCTGTCCTGTCCCTTTAAGGGACAGGTCCTATCCACCACTGAGGCAGGCAGATCTTCCTTCCCATTCTGGTCAGAGCTCTTCTTAGTCTCCTCCCAAAGCGGTATCTGCTGCTGTGGCTCCTCCCCCCCCCTGCTTTTTTCTCATCTCCCCTTCTCCCCTTTTCCCTTACCCCTTCATAACCCACTAAATAAATATGCAATCTCACCCTGATTGGCATGCCTATCCATATCTCTGTCTCTCACCTACCATGTGGCTCCCTGCCCACTGCCTGCTGCTGCTTAGGGGCGTGCAGTGTAGTCTCATGACCTACTACCCACTGCCACCACTAGAGGACCTGCAATGTTTCTGCTCCTGTGCTTCTCAGGAAACTGCAGCATTTTATTTAAAACATGCATTCTGTATGTAATGCATATTGGGCATGTGCATTCTGTAAAGGAACTACCTACAATTTTGGTATCTCTAACTCTTTGAGTTTGTTCACTTATATAAAAAAAACTCTACATGTTTATCTTTAAATAAATAGTGTTTTCTGATCTAAGAACCATCTAACTTCATGGTGTCTATTCCTTATCTACCTCTCCTTTCCCTTGTACCTCCAGCAAACCAACATACACTAATATATGTGTCCCTGTATTGCCACAGGCATCATTCTAATTCCAAACACTGCTCATTTAATGAAGACTTTGATTTATTCTTTGTTTTGTTCATTCTTGAAAATTGTTTCATCTCTTTTCTATTTTTTTCACAATGCTCTAAGCATGACATTTCTTTTTCATTAAAAGAAATATATTTATTTTGACAGACCATGTTTATTTGATTTGTATTATGATTTTAATTATATAATTTCAATTGAATTTTTATATACTATGTTGTGATTATGGTTTTCTACTCCCAAACTTCTCTCAGATATTCTATACCTCCCTACCCACCTAAGTTTATGTTTTCTCTTTCTCTTCCAAAAAACAAAAGAGCAAAAATGAGGAAAACAAAAACAAAGAAAATAAAATAAAAAATGAACCAAAAATCCAAAAACCTTAAAAATGAAAAATACTTTGAGTTTGTTCACTTATATAAAAAACTCTACATGTTTATTTTATTATCTTATTATTTCATTTTATTATCAAAAGACTAATAAAATGACAAATTGCCTAAGCTAAGCAACATAAAACAGTATACGTTAGGAACATTGCTATGTCCCCTTAGCAGGTAATAATATTAGGTTTTCCCTTAGGCTCACAGTCTAGCCAGATTTCTTCTGTGATTATAATTTATTTTGAAAATACAGTTACAACTGATTAAACACAGGGTTGTAAAGCCCAGTCACAACTGATACATCTACAACATTGCTCCTGCACCTAAGGAACAGGGATCATTGTGAAAGAGGGAGCAGAGCCAAATGAAGAGGGAGCTTACTATGAGATTGTTTTCTAGAAATGTCATATAAGTTATACCCATTAAGCCATATTAGTTTATTCATAAACTGAACAAGGGCAAGACTAATGTCATATCATCCTGGAACATGGAAAGCTCATGAGGAATCACCCCAGACCAAAAAAAAAAAAAAAAAAACCCCAACAAAAACAAAAAAACTACAGGTAGGTAAAGAATCCTGTGAGCAGAAGAAATAATATTCCCCACAGAAAGACATATCAATTAGTTACCTCACTATCAAACAGTCAGTCTTGAAAATATGTATATACAGGTAACATTATATGGACTGTGGAGGTTGTATTTGTGCATTTAGGAGCATGCACACACAAACACACACTGTAATTAGCTCTTTAAAAAGAGGTCATTTGTTTGAAAGAGTTGTACTTGGTACACAGGAGAGGAAAGTGAGAGGAGGAAAATATATGATTATACTATAATCTCAAAATTTTAAAAAAGCACACTCCACTGAGTAGGTATCTATATTCCAAGTCCCTCTTCTTTTTTTCCTATGCTGGAGAGGATGTGGAGTAAGGAGAATACTCATCCATTGCTGGTGGGAATGCAAACTTGTGCAACCACTTTGGTGATGTGGGAGTGTCATATCAATCTGTTGATTTCATTGGCTGAGCAATAAAAGAAACTGCTTGACTGGCCCTGATAGGTTAAAGCATTGGTGGAAGGAATAAACAGAATAGGATGCTGGGCGGAAGAGGAAGTGAGGTCAGACTCTGCTCTGCTCCCGGACAGACTCGACAGCTCTGCTCTCTGGAGCAGAGGCCCTGCTTTGCTCTCCCAGGCACACGCGATGAAACTCAGACAAGAAGGGACCTAGGCTAGAATCTTCCCGGTAAGCGCACCTTGGGGTGCTTACACACATCATTAGAAATGGGCTAGTCCAGGTGCGAGAATTAGCCTGTGAGGGCTAGAGTTCATGGGCCAAGCAGTTCTTAAATGAATAGTTTGTGTGTTGTTATTTCGGGCACGAGCTAGCCAAGCGGCTGGGGTGTTGGGGACGCAGCCCCGCCGCTCCTATTTCAACACTTTGGAAATCAGTGTGGTGGTTTCTCAGGAAACTGGGAGTAAATCTACCTCAGGATCCAGCAATTACACTCTTGGAAATATACCCAAGAGATGCCCAATCATACTACAAAAGCATCTGTTCAACTATGTTCATAGCAGCACTATTTGTAATAGCCAGAACCTGGAAACAACCTACATGCCCCTCAACTGAAGAATGGATAAAGAAAGTGTGGCACGTATAAACATTAGAGTACTACTCAGCAATAAAAAAACAATGACATCTTGAATTTTGCAAATGGATGGAAATTGAAAACAGTATCCTGAGTGAGATAAACCAAGTCCCTCTTATTAGGAGTACACTGGTCATACTGAATCAGGGACAAGTTTAGCAATATTTTTATAATTTGGTTATATCTTTAAATATTATCTGAGAAGACAGTCATATGGTTAGAACATAAATATGTAAGTTTTGGTCACAAGTGAAGAGATTGTTTGGCTCCCTGTGTATTTCTACTTCCTAGCAGAATCTCAAACATGAAACTTAGAGAAAAATCTCAAAGTCTTTTCCCTAGAAAAATCTATGCAGAAACAAAAGTTGGAAATAGGTCCTTTTATAGCAAATGTCTGAGAGAACATTAGTGTACAAGATTGAGTCAATGGCTAATATTCTTTCTCATTCCTCTTTTTATGCAGGCAAGGCTTATGAACAGAATCAAGGTGGTTACAGAAGGATCTATTTTCTCTGGAGGTAAACAAGTTTGTCCAAAAATTTTGTGAAGCTAAGGCACATAAAAGAAAACATGACTAAAGAAAAATATAATAATAAATCTTAGATTAATTGTTGATGTCAACATTATAATTGGTAACTTTTGCTATATGATGTTGTATAAAAATGATCCCAAATTCACTAGTGCAAAATTGATAACCATATATTCATCTGCAAATGAATGCACAAATAAAATCTGTAGCTTAAAAATATAAATAATATCACAAATTTGGGTAGATAGGAAAGCAGTAGATCTGA